AATCCTCTCGTCCAAGCTTCCAGAGCCAAGAAATCGTGGTAGACTCAATCCCTCTGGAAGTCCCTCTAGTAACCGATGAAAGACTTCTCACACTCGCAGCAGCCGCCCTCTACTCTACTAGGGACGTCTCTAGCAAAAACTTGGGCTCTGTATCTGCTAGAACGGGTGACACATGTCCTGGACATCCTAGTTTATCTAAACACAGGTTGAGACAGAAATAAGAAAAAATAGGAGAGAGAAAGATTAAGTGTAGGAAGAAGAAATGAGGAGAAAAGCGTTGAAGTTGAGCTCTCCTACGATCCAGGTGCTGGCTCGGCGCTGTGTCCAGTTAAACTGAGCGCGACAGGGTTCAGCTAAGCCGAGAAGAGGGCAGCGAGCGACCCGCAGTCAGCATCTTGTAGAGAAGAAGGAGCGCTCCCAGCCGCGGGAAGATCAGCATACTGGCGGCCCCAAGGGCCCCACAGGCGCAGCACTGATCTGGCCACTTGACTAGACGCTTGCTCCAGCGCTCGCAGGCCTAGGGCTCATTACACGCGTTGCGAGGAGACCTGAAAGCAAGGCGGGGACGCACAATCTATCTTCAGAGCTTTGGGTCGTGAGCACACGCGTGGAGCATGGCTGTGGCATGGGCGTGTGGGCCCCTCTCCTAGATCTCCACTAGGTGCGGACGCTCCTCTGCCCCGCCCTTTTGTGCGCCCTCACTACTAGAGAAAGAGTTTTCCCCAGTGTCGCGTGGGAGGTCGCCCCAGCCCAGCTCAGTGCTCGAAGAGACCAGAGACTGATCGGGAATCGCTGGGTGCAGGGAGAAGCAGTACACGCGCTCCACTCCTGTGGTCGTGCCCTAGCGCACCTGACCTGACCTAGAGGCGACTGCAGCCTGTTGCGCCCTTCGCCCTGAGGGTGGGGGGCGCGGGGGTGTAAAACAGCTGAGAAAGACGCAGGGAGCAGCTGGGGAGGAAAGGGAGGGACACGGAGGAAACAAAGTTCACCCAAGTGAATGCGTCCTAATTGCTCCAGGGCTCTCTCCGCAAAGTCTACGACTGCAAGCCGCAAAGTCAAACTATGTCTCCAAAACGCAGTGGGCAGAGCAGGAGGGCTTGTGTCTCCACTTTCACCGCAGGGCGGATCATGGACACAAGTCCTCGCCAGTAATTCCGGAGCCTCGAAATCAGACTGTGGTGGGAGGAGGGGTTGGGGGGTGACTAATAAGAAGGCGTGGAGGTGGGGGTGGGGAGTACACGGCAAGAACCCTGCTTTCCGGAGTTCTCCAGCCACTGTCCGCAGTGCCCAGAGCGCACGTCGCGGCTAGGGACCAAAATTGCGGCTCTCTTCGAGCGCCCCCAGCGTGGGGTGGGGCCCTGCTTTCCCGCACCAGGACCGCTCCACCAGGCGCCCTCCGACGGAAGCTGGACTTTTCCTAAGGAAAGGCAAAGTCAAAGTCGGAGGAAAGATCTTTCTTGCGGCCCCAGCTGTCGCCCCTAATGGTCTCAGGGAACACACTAAAGGAAAGTGACTTTAAATGACAGTCTTGCCATCCTAAATAGTTATGTGCAGTATTTTGGTTTCTAGCAAAATTTAAAAGTAAAATGGGGATTTCCATATGCTTATTTTATTATTAAAAACGAATTACTAAAAAGTGATGACCTATTTGGAATTCGTATCTTGCTTTACCAGCAAAGTCAGCCAGTATCGACTGAACACAATAAATGCAGGGGTGCGAAACGTGATTGCTCGGGTTCTGTCGGATGCACCAATCTAAGCAGAACCTTTCCCGAAGACTTGGAATTGGGTGCGCTTTTTTTTTAAGTCTTGGCTGAGCCCTATGGGGAACAAGGGTTAACTGGGCGTCGGCTGAGACCCCAAACCCTCTTCCTCCTCCATCAGACTCCGAAATTGAGTCAGTCCCGGCCCGTAGTTGCCTGGGAAGCTTGGAATCCTGAGAAATTCCGGGGTGCGCCCACGATGCAAGCGTTCCTATTCTGACAGCGGGGTCAAGTGGGGAGCGGACCTTACAACCTCCTTTGGAGAAGAATGTATGAGAAACTCACTCCCAGACCTCTATTCAATAGTCAAAATAATACTGAAAAAAACTTTAAAAATCTCCAAGAATAGATACTCTCCTTTCCCGTTCCACCTTGAGGGAACCTGTCTCCATTTTTGACCTCGATTTGACAGCGTCAGGACTTCAGACAAGCGCCTCTTCCACAGAGAGAGGCGAGGCCCAGACGGGGAGCCCCCCAGCCTTTACTCTCGGCAGCCACCTCGGCGCTGCCGCGCGGCGGATACAAAAGGAAACGGACGAGCGTGCAAAGCGAGGCGGGGAGCTGGTGGCTCGAAGATGCGCAACACGCGCGATGCCTAGAAGTGCTCTGGTGTCACTCTCCTGTATAGGACCTGGCGAGATGGAAATGTATCCTGTACCGGAAGACTCTATGATCAAAATATTGCAATGAAATTAAACTTTTCCCTCACAGACCTGTTTGTATCTTGGAAACATTTCTGCAATGCCGACGCCTAGGTTTAAAATACAATTAGATAATTTGATATTCTCGTTGCCGCACTGACACCGAGAAAGCCAAGAGATTCTCAAGGCAAAGTGAAATTGAACCTTCAAATGACATTCTTGAGGTTGCAAGAATATCTATATCTCCTTGTTGTGCTCCTTGCATGCAGAGAACCAGTGGCCCGTAAGACTTATGACCGGTATTTTTTAGGGGAAGAGGCACCTAAACTATCTAAGAATGGAGTCCGGTGCCAGAAAGAAATACACAAGATAAGGTCGTTGGGTGCCGCTGTCACTGCAGGGCACCATGGGCTCCCTGGGCCGTACATATCTCTCTTGTGACAATCAGTACCCCAAATACTCTCTCTCTCTCTCTCTCTCTCTCTCTCTCTCATCCACCCATCCACAGCGGAAGGCCAGCAGGGCACCCAGAGAAATTGTGACCGTCCCCTGTATGGCAGAAAGGCAGACCTCAGGAAGGAGCAGGCGACACCGCTGCTCACTGCTCACTCGAGGTTTGAATTAAGGGCATCTATCCATAAACTCAAAATGGGGCTAGATAGCAAAGTCTTAAAATTAGACCTTCCCTCAGAGCTGAGAATTGTATGGTCATGTCTTCGGAACAATGATCATGTATTTTCCATTGCTGGAACGATGCACAATAACTGAAATGCTTAAGAGGACGTGGGTAGACGAGGGCGGTATGAAGCTCTCATTATAAAGTTTAATCTCTTTCTGAAGAAGGTCATGCAACGTCTGGCTTTTGGCAATGCAGCGTGTCTGTTGCTTCTTCTCACTTTACTCCTAGAAACATTAGGACAAGAAAAGTCCTCAGCTGCATATGGAAAGATGTAGGGGCAATACATGCGACGCTCTTTACCCGAGCAACTCGGTGCGCGGCCGCGAGTTTGACAGCGACTCTGTGAAACAGAAAAGGCACTAACCAATTTGCAATTTAGGAATCACAACGGAATGTTCGGCGAGCCGGTGTAGTCGGCACGCGGACCTGGTGGAGCGTCCTCCCTGCCTCCTCTGACCCCAAATTCCCGGGAGGCGCACTACCCGACTCCCCCTTGGCCTTGGGTGATGCGCCGACGCTTCCTTAAGGGAGAACCAGTCACAGAGTTCGTTTCTGGGTTCAACTCTGGGGGATTGTGTGACGGAATGTCATTGTCTCGGGGCTGCAGACACCTGGGAGACGAGTGCTGAAGGCTCTGCAGATTCCCAGCATTTCTAAAAAGCCTTTCTCTTTCTCTTTACTTACTGCTTTGTGGCTTTACTTGGGCATAAGATGTGAAAATAAAATGATATGGCTAGTCTCATCTTTTCAAGAAAGTCAAGAAATCGAACATTTCGTTATTATTTAATCTCTTATGTGGCCACCCTATTTGTCCCTCAGTTACCCGGAGAAAAACGCATCTTGTAAAAATAACCTTATATTACCACCGAGACCTGCATTCTCTCTTTTTGCTGACCCGCAAAACGTGTCTTTTAAAAAGAGGAGAAACAAGCGAAAGAAAACCTGAGCGCTCTCGTGGCAATTTACAGTTCTAACTCTGCATTTTAAAAACAATAACACTCTTTGTAAATTTCAGTGACCCCCCAAGGCCATCAGTAATTCACCAGGGTCAGCGAAGGAGACTATCCCCACCTTACCCTCACTATGAATTCACAGCTGCCCTAAGGCGAAACTCGTTGGACCTCATCTGCCCAAGGACAAGGGTTCTGAGCGGAAGCAGATTCTAGAGCATCAGTTTCCTTTCTTTTTTGAAAGTTGGTGCTGGGTGGAATCCGAGAGGCCTGGTTACAACTTGCTTATACTAGGCCCAGGATCCAACACACAGATATTTTATCATGTACCTGAGAAAGTTATAAGGGATAAATTCTGTTCTAAAACTACAAATTGCACCTCATCACCATCCACTGAATGAGGGAAATAAAGAGTTACAAGAAATACCTCTACTGAGTTCTGCTCTGTGCCAAAGTGACCCAAGGCCCAAAGGGCCTGAATTGCTTAGCCCTTTCTCCATGACCCAACAATTGTAAATTGAGAAATTGGAAAATTGGAGATTACGTACAACACTCCTCAAACCCGTGTTGACTTCTTGAGTCTTAAAAAGATACTTCCTAATCACTGTGCAAGACAAGTACTTGACAAGACTCTGACCTTGTTCAAGTTCAAAAGCTCTTGGGTCTCCAGAACATCTCTCCTGAAAGCTACACTTACTTGCAAAGTTAACAGAAGAGTTGAGATATTCTAAATTGACTCTAAAAATATTGGTCGCCAGACTGGAAAATTCTAGTTAAGAAAAAACATTTTACTGAATTATCTGGATAACTATTTTGGTTCACCTGATTTCTTTTGCCAGAATAGATTTAGGCTGTCAGTTTGAAATTCAGATACTGAATAAGTGACCTATCCCAAATTAATCTCCAACTGTGTATGTTATGTTGCCATTCAGTCATTATTTTTTCCTGACCCAGAAAGAAGACAAAATTCTGTTCATTTACATGGTTTATTGTTGTAAACATTAAAATTGTCTTTCTCAAAGAAAGAATTTATCAGAAAAAAAATCAGCGTCTCTAACTGTCATACACCATAGAAAAAAAGGCAGTGACTCATATCATGTGCCATACTAGAAATATACAAAGAAAAATACTACAGAATATGGCAATATTAAAATTCTTACTCAAACAAAATAATAAATTAACTGACAATTTTAGACATAAAAAAATTCAAAGTGCTCAGTAATTTCCAGGGAGTTATGTATATTATAAGCACTCTGGAAACAGTCAAAAGCTGCTGCATGCAAGTTTTGTTTAGCTTTAGACAACAAAATAATCAAGATATAAACTTTCTTTTTATCAACATCAACGGTACATACAACACTTACAAACAAGGAATGTTGGACGGTGTTACAAACACTATGTGTCCCTTTTGTCAGGATTTTCTGATGTGTAATACTTGTGCCCACCTATTTTACAATTGAGAAAATGTTTAAGCTCAGATAACTACCAATCTTTATAAAATCTAACAGACTACATAGTGTCTGAAATACTATTTATATAATATAGACATTACTGAAGTAGCAAGTGCCTATAACATTTTCAACCTAGAATCAACATGCTTGTCCCTTTTTATGTATTTATTTATTTTTTTTTGCAAACACACTTATCTTTTAGAATTTGTAATATTTATTCATAAATAGGCACAAAATAATTTAAAAAGCCAAACTGCATTGGGTAAATTTACAAGCCTTTGCCTTCTTCAACTCATGCCACCCACGCAACATTTAGTTTTACTATATATTACAGCTTTCTTTACAGCAGAAAACTTTGAAGTATTGTTAAAGGGCAATACTTGTGGGTCCCCTTAAGGGGTGTGTGTGTGTGTGTGTGTGTGTGTTACATTTGTCTGAACTGCAACAACCAAGCATGGCCAAACATTTCCCATTATACAGTATATCAACCTTTCTTCTGAACAATAAACTGATTTTTAAACTGATAATAAAAAGTTTATACCACTGTATTGTGTGTAGTCCATGTTCTAAATCCAGGATGCCCCGGAGCCAAAATGCCCTTTCAGGTTCTGCCTGCAGGTTAGGAAATAGCAACAGTTTTTGTTTGTTTGTTTTCTTTAGGGATCAAGGGGGCTGGGGGAGGGTTACAGAAATGAGGGGCAGCTTGAGCTGAGACAGCTCACAGGGCTATCTCTGCCCATGTGACTTGCCCCCTCTGGACAGTTTCCGTTATCTTTCCAGTTCCTTTGAAGTGCTTGGGAGGAGGTCTTAGAAAGGTAAAGTGTCCAGGAAAAGTTTGTCAATTATTGCTGGCGGTGGCACCAAGTCTTCCAATTTCAGGTAGAAAATGCGCTGTAGCCCCTGTGTGCAAAGGGTACGAAGTTCTGGGAGCTTCCCCAACAGTTTGGACAAATAATTGGGGCGGTTCAACCCCCCATTGTTGAAAGTCACATGGTCTTTGAGACAATTTACAATCTTGTTTTGCAGTTCTTCCACTCTCTTGGGTTCCTTGAGCCCGTGTCTCTCTAAAGAAAATATAATCAGAAACAAAAGAAGAATGTACAAGACAGTTAGCTAGTTGGCAAAACCAAGGAGAATCTGTGACAAGGGCAAGCCAGGACAAATCCTGCTAGGCAGTTCTGGAGGGGAAGCGCCCTGCACCTGCAGTACTGACCTGTGACCATAGCCAGGGCAGCAATGCAGGAGAAGGCAGAAATGTCGATGTTCATATTCTGCAAGTTGGAGGAGAATTCAACAATGGAATCAATCCATTCCCCAAAGCCACGAACGCATTGCAACCTGTGCAAGACCACCCCATTGCAAAAGATGAGTTTACCCTCCACTGGGTTGGACCTGCAATTAATACCAAAGAGAGAGAGGGGAGAAAAAGAGAGAGAGAAAAGCTAAACAACTAATTACTTGAAGAGCAATAAATGAGGGATTTAAGAGGCACCTAATTACTGAAGAGTTAATAAAATGTAGACCAGTGGACCTTGAAAGGGTTTAATTTCATAACAATCAAGAACGCCCCCTATCCCACCTCCATTCCATTCATCCAAGGCTTGTGGGCTTGCTCCTTCCCTTGTCTTTTTTTGTTTTCTTTCTTTTTCTTCCTTTCTCCGACTTTCAGTTCCTATTCTTTTTCTCTACCCCACCCTCTGGTTTCCTTTCATCCCTTTCTTTTCCTTTCTTGATTTCTCTCACAGCCTCCCTGGATTGTCTCCTCCCTCCCTCATTACCTGTATGCTAATCGAAGGACAAACAGTTCTAAGAAAGCTGATTCAAAAAGCAGGTCCTGGTCGGCTTTGGGCAGGTCTGCGAAGCCAGGGATCTTCTCCGCCCAGCCCCGGATGATCTCCATGGAGCCAGTCAGGAGATCATAGAATTGCTGGATATGCTGGGTGTCATCTCCACTCATCTGATAGTCAGGGTTCGCCTGGAACTGGAATTTCATTTTAAAAAGCACTTAATGAGGTTCTCTAAAATATATAACCCGTGAAATTGCTAACCCCGTTTCTAGTAGGGGAGCCAGGTTTTTATAACAATTAAACCTCTCTCTGACCAGTAAGGAAATTAGATGTTCCGGGGCAATTAATTCAATTAGGGATGGTGCTACGAGGTCGCTGCTTTAAATATGTAAATTACCATTTCCATACAGACTAAATACAGTGCCATCCAGCCCTGGGAAACGTTCACTCTTATCTCCACAAAACAATTGACACGTTAGTATTCATGCTAGTCCCAGAGTGGGCCTCGAGCTGAGACATCCTTTTTCAAATCTTAATAAAATTGCAGTCACTACCACGTTTGCTCAACATACTTCCTCCAATTAAAGCCCGCATATTTTTCACAGCTGGAGTAAAAAGGATCTGACCACTTGATCTCCCACCTCACTGCCATTCTTCACACCCTCTCCTTCCCTTCCCTGACCCCCAGACAGGCCCTACATCCTTCCCCAGCACAGTGCCAGGAAGGATGAGGATTAAAGCATCTACCTCTATGGAGGACTGGGAATAAAGTAGATCGGGGAGGGGGGAGTTCGTACCGCCCCTGGATTTCATGATAGAGGCACTGGGGTATATGGAAGAGGAGGGGCGGAGGGGTAGTGGGGTAGTGGGAATTCACACAGCTTCAAACCCTGTGGCATGTCCCTCTTCTCCTTCCTCTGTCCTGTTCTCATGTCTATGACCCCAAGCTACAATCCCTGGCCAGAGCTGTGAGGCATATAGTCTTGCTTGCCTTCTTTACCCCATTGAATCTGAGGGTTAATGGTGGATGTGGGGAGGGGTCCTGCCCATCTGTCGGTTTATCCACATGATTTCCCCCCACCAGCTTCTTACCCTGGAATAGTCCAGGCTGGTCATAGCCGGGTTGGAGTCGACATGGGCCCTGACGAGGGCACTGATCAGACTCACCGGGGGCGAAGGGGGAGAGGGCTCCTGTGGGCTCTTCGGTTTCGAGGGCAAACGACCTCTCCGGCCTTTTAAACTGTCTGTGCGAACCACTGCAAAGGAAGAGCCCTGTTAGCGCCACTTTTCCGAGCCCAGGCCCAGCTGCTGCCTCGGTCCCTCCCGGGGGAAGGCCGCAGCCGCGGGGCACCAGGCTGAGCGGCTCAGGGCCCCACTGCTTGTAAAGCCTTTACTGACGAGAAGCATTAAAAAATGCGGGGTTATTTTATAATGCGGGGTTATTTTATGTCTTCCTCCAAATGGGTCGTATAGTTTAAGGAGAGAAAGGCCTGGCGGCTTTCTCTAGGGGAAGCCGGGCAAGCAGGCAGCTGCGGGGTCCTGAAGGCCAGACTGTGGGGGAGCCGGAGATCCCCAGCACCGGGAAGTGGAACGTGATGCTAGAGTATGAGCAGTGGTTTCCTAAGGGCGCAAACTGGAGGGTCGGCAGCTCCCCGCTACCTACCTTCTTTGACCATCCCAACAGCCAGGCACTTCTGAAATCGGCAGTACTGACAGCGATTCCGGCGACGCTTGTCCACTGGGCAGTTTTTATTTGCTAAACACACATATTTTGCATTTTTTTGCACTGTGCGCTGCAAAAGGAGACAATATAGACCAAAAAATTTTTTTCTTCTTTTGAAAATCAGGCAACTCGGAGAAAATTTCCGATATGTGGCTGGGGTTTACGATTCCTCCCCACAAACAAACACATACACACAATTCCATTTTATTTTTTTCTCTTCCTTTTCTTTCTTTCTTTTCTTTTTCCTCCCCCAGGGCATTTAACAGAAGAAAATTGATAGCGTTAACATTTGAGCTAACCTTGCCGCTCCTTGCTGTGTTTTATATGCCAAGAGAAGGAGAAGGAGACGCTCAGTAAATACAAATCCGTGGGCATTCATATTATTTACATTCCTTGGAGACCTTCTCTATTTAAAATGATAAGATTATTCAATCAGGATGGCGAAATAAAGAGATCACTTAATTTGACCATAGGGAATTCTGTTCCACTTGGTTAGCTCAGACACGGTTCTCTGTCCTAACCAATTTCATTCTGAACAGGGAAGACAGCTCCTAGCACATGCAAATGACCCTCTTCCAACTCCGGCTCCAGCAACTTCGGGCGGGGGCCAGCCGGGTCGGCTGAGTGCGAGGGGGATGCGACCCTGGCCTCCCAGTCTTTCTGCTTCCCTTTCTCAGACACCCGGAAGTCCCCGCCGCAGCCCGTGGACTCCTGCAGGGTAGCTTCGGTGGACCCCGGAGAGCCGGGCAGTCCCAGGAGAGCTGGGGCTGGGCTGCCAGCACCAAGGCGGAGGCACACTCCAGGGTCCCGGGCACTAGGGGCTCCCTACCTGCCTACTCCGCTCAAGCCACTGCTCACCTTAAAGAAGCCTTTGCAGCCCTCACAGGTGCGCACGCCGTAGTGTTGGCAGGCCGCGTTGTCCCCACACACAGCGCACAGCCCCTCGTTGGAGGGGGAGCCCCGCGAAGGCGGCGAGGGCACCTGCGTGTCGAGCAGCTGCGACGCGTGGCCGAGCTGCAGGCCCGGGAAGCCCATGGACGCGGGCTTGCGAATGGGGTTGGGTACAGCAAAGGTCTGCCCATCCACCACGTGGTGGCTGCTGGCGGGCTCCGGGTTCATGGGGACGTGCAGGGGCCCGTCGAAGCGCATCTGGCAACTAGACACCGGGGTGCCAGGGGGCGATTGCTTAAAGGAGAAGAGGGAGAGGCGGGAAACTGGCGTTTTCCTCTGCTCGATCATGTGCGTAGTGGCCACGTAGTTCTGGTGGAAGTTGTGGAGAGACCCCGGGTCGTCCCACATGGGGCTGTGCTGCACCTGGAAGCCTGGGGTGGTGGGCGTCGGGGGCGAGGAGGGCTTGTAGTAAACCGAACCGGAGTGCGGCATCATCTCCTCAGACTGGGGGGGCAGGTGGCTGTGTTGCTGGTAGTTGTGCATCTGAATGTCTTCTACCTTAATGGAGGACTGCTGTCCGGACAGGGGCATTTGGTACAAGCAAGGTGGCTTGACGTCGTAGCCTGTGCTGTAGTTGTCCATAAAGGTACTGAAGCTGGGGAGAGAAGTGGTGGCAGTGATTTCAGTGTTGGTGAGGTCCATGCTAAACTTGACAAACTCTGGAGTTAAGAAATCGGAGCTGTATTCTCCCGAAGAGTGGTAACTGTAGCTCTGAGAAGCGGGGCTGGCTCCTTGAGGCGAGGACCCATACTGCGCCTGAACACAAGGCATGGCTGGAAATGAAACAGGGTGATACACACTCAGCCTGGTCAACTGAACACTTCCTCCCGGGCTCGGGTACACCTGGAGCTACACCGGCAGCCCGCGGCAGTCAGAGAGCGTGTAGGGGCGCGAGAGGAAGGGCAGGAGAGGGAGAATGCTGCCGAACAACAGTGTAGGGTGTGGAAAGACTGACCAAATAAAGACCCAGAGCTAAAAAGCTACTGAGGGTCCACACTCCTAGGTATTGCCAAACATCTCCTCCATACCACCCCCCACACCTTTTTACAGTCAATCCCACTCAGATGAGCCTCTTCTCTGAAGCTCAGATTCAGCAGTCTCTTTCTAGAAATGACCATCTAGAAATGAAGTTGAATTTCACAATGAGAAAGTTGTTCCCCAAGGCGATGGGTCGGGCAAATCTTAAGTTACAGGGTTTGCCAAGAAGATCGCCTTGTCCTGTTTCTTGATGTTTGGGGGAACTCCGGAGAGTAAAGGAAATAAATGAAGTTGCACTAACCTTCAGCCGAGTTACAGGCGTTTTCGAGGAAATTAAAGGTGGACAGTGTCGTAATTCAATGAAGGACAAAGTTTCCAAGATTTTTAGAAAAGCAATGGGGAGTCCAGCCTGTCCAATCTCCTCCCTGAAATACAGACACAGGAAGCTTCAGGGTATCTTCCTGACAGAGATTCAACTGGGCATATGTAGACTCACCAGGCAGGCCCTTCCATGCCTTCCCTGTTCATCTCATTGGAAGTGAGTGGGAAGCCTTTACCAAACACAGCACTTAAAATGAATGTATAAAAGAAATGACTTGAAACAACAGAAAATACTACCCACTGCACTGTCTAAATCCTTGCAGAGAGAGGATCCTGCAAGAGGAAAGTTAGTCCATGAACTCATTTAACATTTATGATGTAATGAACTGGCCCCTTTGCTACAGTGTAGGTGGAGAGGTCATTTCCATCTTAGGTTAATTCAGGACCTGAATATGAAGACTAGAGTCTGAAAATACAGCATTGGAACCTTCTCTTGCATTTTTTTTTTCATGTGGTGAAATTGCCTTTTCTTTTGGTAGAGGGGAAGAAAGTAGAAGTCAAGAATATAAAATGAGAAAACAATCTTTCCCCTTATAAAATGTTAGAAAGACCTTGACTGAGAAGACAATTTGAGTGGAAGCATCCGCATTTCTAAAGTGCTTTTGACAGAGCACTGGGATTGGAGCTGCAGACAAATTGATGTTCACTTTTTCAGAAAACTTGTCTTTCAGCATCTTTAATGGCCACAAGGTGGGAAGAGGGGACCCTACTTTTCCAGGAGTATCTTAGGTCAATTGCAGAGAGGGGACATACTGCTTATATGGTATTGGCACCAATATTAGAAGTGTTTCCCAGAACAGCAACACCAACACCTTCCCCATAATGCCTTCCACAATCTGCCTTTCTGGAACAAGGCATTCTTGTGTCCTAGTAATTTTCAGATGTTCCCACTTAGAAGGCATTCTAGCGCACAGACAATCTTATTACTAACGTAAAAGAAAGCCAGTATCCTCTTTCTATTCTTTCCCCTCCCCCACAATCTTGCTTCATAGTGGTGGTGGGGGTGGGGGCGGGGGGTGATTACCCAGAAAAAGCAGAAAGGAGACTCGACTTCCACAGCCCTTACAGATATTCCTGTGTTGGATATTAACTCCCTGGTAGCTCCACAGTTTCATAACTGTACTCTTTACATATTCATATTCTCTCTCTCTCTCTCTCTCTCTCTCTCTCTGTCTCTCTCTCTCGACACATTCGCAAACCCAAGGACAGCATATGTCAAAACCAGAAATTTCAGACAACTTAGTAACAGGACACTCTACCAACACCACCCTTACTCAACAATACCCGGGAAACATCGCGCGCTGGCCAGCCGCGGAGACACAGTTCCCAAGCAACGCATAAACTGAAGAACTTTCTCTCCCTGTCAGTTTGTGGGCAGCTTCCCTCGTATACACAGGACTTGGAGTCTCCGTCTTCACAGGCCACAATCAATTCCTCACTAACAGCAAACTTTGCTCACATTTCCGCGGGCTAGTCCTCAGCTCCCAAACTGTGGAGTCTCCCTTCCACGTCCACCAATGAGGAGCCTGGAAGCCTCTGTCGGGAGCCAACTCCCCACTAGTGCCAAAGCCGGAGTTCGAACAAATGCCCCCCGGTAACTACGCGCACGCACTCCCCATCCTTCGGTCCCACTCTCACTAGAAGCCTCTGGCTCCCACTTCCAAAGAACCTATCCCACACAAGTGGAAAGAAGAGACGTGCAAAAGAAGGAAGAAGCATAAAAGAAGGCGAACTGCATGGGCTGCATCTACTCACTTAGGAGTTCTCCGCGTCTCTCTTCATTCATTCAACTCTGCCGAAGTGCAGTTCCCTCTGGGAGGCTGGGCGCCGGGGTCGGGGAGGGGTGGGCGAGCTGGGCGAAGGGAGCCCGGACACCTCACGCAGGGAGGGAGTAGGGACAGGCGGCCGGCTGGACAGGCAAAAGGGACCGCGGAGCTGTACGCGAGCCGCCGGGCGGACTGGCCCTGGCCGCCAATGTGCCTTTGTTTATGTGGCTCGCGCTGCCGCTGCCAACATGCACCTAAAGTCTCCGCGCGTCAGCGCGCGTCAGCGGCCCGCCGCCCAATCGCCGCGCCGCCGCGCTCCCTGGACTCCTGGCCCGCGCTCGCTTTGGTATATTTCCGACCTGACGTCACGAGCAGGGCAGATTTTAAGGTGGGAACCGCTCTGCGTTCACCTTGGTAGCCAGCTTGGGTGGTTTTTGGTGTTTTCTTTTCTTTCTTTCTTTTTTTTTTTTTTTTTCCGAAAGAGGTGTGACCTCTCCCAGGTCTGCGCAGCCCGCAGTGCCGCGACACTTCACTTTCCCCCAGGCCCCCGCGCCCTCGCAGCTGCTCGGCCGCTCACATGTGGGGAGGGTGCAACAAAAGCCCAGGCGGAAGGGAAGGCCGGCGTGGGCCAGGTAGCACGCACCTGGAGCCGCACGGAATGGGATGTGCCTTGCAGCGCCCTAACCTCTCCCACCCACCTTCGTCACCCCCTTAGCGGAAGAGCGTACAGATGTCCCATGACACGAGACGCTCAGAGGGCTCACGCAGTTCGGGTGGGATTTCCCTACCCGGTTCATCCCCTTTTACTCCCTTTTCCTGTCCTAGGCCTCCTCCTCTTCTGGCATATATTCATTCTCATTCTCTCTCTCTCTCCCCCTTCCCCCCACTCCCACACTCCCATTTGAAAAGGAATGGGAGTGGGGGTGGGGCTTATTTTTCTGTGTTTCCTTATTTCCACGCAGTGCCCACGTTCGATGGAGGACGTGGTGCGTGGGGTTGGGGGGGAGGAGAGGAAGGGGAGAGGGTAGACAGTGACCGTGACCCAGCTCTTTAGAAACCCCAAAAGTCAGAGTGAAGCGTCGCGCCTTTTCCTTTCGCAGACAATGCAGCCGAGCAGCAGGCAACAGGTGCGCCTTCTGCAGAAAGGTACTCTGATTCCCACCTTCTGCAAACTCTAATACTTTCGATACTCCTCGCTGCCCACCAACTTGTACCCCTTCCACGAGTTTTAGAGAAATAAATCGACCTTCGTTTGAAACACAAGGTCTATCACAGCCTCAATGTTAGAACCCAGAAAGACTGGACAAGAAAAGCGAAGCGGTGGGGATTGGAGACAGCGTCTCCGCAAAGCGTAAGGTGTGAGCCTACAACCCAGCCAGGAGAGGGGCCCCAGCGTCGGACTGTGGGAGCGTGTCCCACCCCCGCAGCCATCCGAGTCGCCGCCGATTCTGCTTTGCAATTCATTTCCCCTCGCCAGGCCGCGGGCGCAGGGAGCTTTCTAGCAAAGACAACGCCGCGGCTCCGGAGGGCAAGCTCCCTCCCCCAGTCTCCCGGCCGGAGCTGGGCGGGCTTCCTAGGGCTTCTCCCGCGGGGCTGGAAGAGGCTGGGCCTTGAGAGGGAGAGTTCGGAGCCGCCCCCGCTTTTCTACTCGCGCAGAGCGTCCCAGCCGCCCCTCCTTTCTCGGCGTGGCTCGCTTCCAGGCCGACGGGACCCTTTTGCAACTTGCCCCCCTACTCGTGTTCTCAGTACCGGCCGATTGCGCCGTGGAACTATTCGGGATCCCGGGCTGCTCAGCCCTAATCTGCAGCCCCGCCTTTGCCTACTCCCTGCTGCCCCCAGCTCGCCGGTGGCTGGGGAGGCGTTGCCAACAGATGTCCTGCGGCTGCCCCAGGAAGCCGCGGGCTCTTCTGCGCCGCAGCCTCCGGGAAACCTACGTGACCACCTTAAGTTTCCCCCAGATGTTGCGGCTGCCGCTACTGCTGCCGCCGCCGCCGCTGCTCGGCGGTGCCCTAGCGGGCGCAAGAAAAAAATAAAACCAGGAAGTGGGTGGCGGGGGGGCGGGTTGTGGTGGCGGGTAAGGGTGTGTGAGTAGGGGGATGAGGAGGGGAGGGCGAAGAATAGCATATTAGCATGAGCTCGGTAGCGTCAGCGCCCCGTGGGCAGAAGCGATTCCATGCGAACGAAAGGGAAAAAGTGAGAGTTTGGAGAGCCGGGGAGAAGGAAGGGGGTGGGGGTGGCGGTGACGCAGGGGCGCAGGCATTGACGCACCGGCCAGGCTGGGCCCAAAATAGCAGCAACACCAGCTCAGAGGCGCCCTCCCGGGTTCCCTTCCCCTTCCGCGAGGGAGCAGGGCGCGGCCACGGGGAGCTTTCCTTGATCCCCGCAGTGGGCCAGGCTCCTGGCCGCTATTTTCAGGCAGTCGGAAACTCAAGCACAGGCACCGCGGGGTGGCAGTTATTATTTTTTAATATAGTCCTAGGAAAACGGGGGCCGGGAGAACTTTCAGGTTGGTTATAACCACCAGCCTCCATACACACACTCCCGTCTAAGTAGATGCATTCACTCTGCACGCTTCCCCCTCCCTCATTGCCATAAAAATCATTCAGTTTAGGTTGGGTTGAGCCTGGGACAATTTGAAAATGCCGTCCCAGGGAACTGAAAAGTGTCCTGGAGTTCTTCAAGTGAGCGCCAAGGAAGCCAAACATTGTAATGTGATGCGTTATTCTTTAACAGCAACCTGTTAAAGGTGCGGCTTCCTGATAACAGCCTTTGTCCAAGTCTTAATGCCACCAAGAATGAAGGGTCGTTTTCACAGCAGCTTATTATAAGAATTATTATTTAACTGGGAATGGAGTGATTATATATAAAATTAAAATGAGAGAAAGGGGAGACCTTTGTTATCTGTTCTATCATCTGTGTAAGAGTTCTCTCCTCTTCAAAGTCCTATTCTGGTTTCTGGGAAGCTTTTACTGTTTCTTAGGAAGACACGTCGGATGTAAAGCTGTTAAGCTCGTTTAAACCAATTTTGAATAAGCTACTTTTTAGGCTGGGGTTTCTGTAGGGCCCGGATGAGTTGGGTTGGAAAGGATTCAGCATAGAGATCAAAAAGTGTTTTACAAAAAGAAAAAGAAAGAAAGAAAAGAAAGAAAGAAAGAAAAGAAAAGAAGAAGGAAGGAAGAAGAGGAAGGAAGGAAGGAAGAAAGGGAAGGAAAGAAGAAAGGAGAAGGAAAGAAAGAAGAGAAAGAAAGAAAGAAAGAAAGAAAAAAGAAGAAAGAAAGAAAGAAAGAAAGAAGAAAAGAAAGAAGAAAGAAAGAAAAGAAAAGAAAGAAAAGAAAAGAAAGAAAGAAGGCCACCCTCGAAACCCCAGACTACAGTTTTCCTCACCAGATTCTAATGGGACGATGTCTCAGTAGCACCGCCAATGTGTGTGTAATTGACTGATCCAGTCAGTAGGGGGCCTGACTCCACAACGTTCAAGAAAACACACACACACACACACACCACACAACACACACACACACAGGCACACACACGCTATTTAAGCTAAACTAAAGAGAAGGCTGCAGGCCCAAATATTAATGTTGTGCTGGAATTCATAAATAACTAAAAATCTTTGATTCTCTTCTATTTTCTCCAAAAGGGAAACAGTTTTAACACATGGGATTAGGGTCACAAAAGATTTTCTTTATTTCCTCCTGCTCATGTTTAACTCACTGTTAGGTCACAGAAGGAAAAAAATCAAACTGGTAATAAAATCTCTCATTTTATCACCAGCAAGTTCAAATTGGCATACAGTTTGGAAAAATGAAACCATGTTTTAAAATCCTATGATTACATGTTTAAATAAATTATAGTTTAGAAGGAGATTCCTGTGGGTATATTTGCTAGTACATAAGAGAATGCTTTTGTGCACAGAGATTTAATTACACATATAGAATCAAAATGTAGAATTGAACAACCTTTCAGAAAATGTTAAAACGATGCTTTAGGCTAAAAGAAACTGAAATTCTGCATTTATATGACTGCAACCCTTCAAGATTCTTGAACATAAATAGTTCAAGTAAAGTATTTTATAACTCAATTAAAATGACAATAATGGTTTTTTCAGGCCCCTGTAGCTGATATAACTTTAAACTATTGCCATGTATAAATGTGTAAAGTTACCCCACAATGAAGGTTATTTTCTTAACAATTTTTAAAATAAATGGGAGTAAAAATTGCTCCTATCTTCTTTTGAAACCAACTGGAATAAATTAAAAAGCATTACTATTAAGAAACACTATTGGATGACCACAGAAAACATTTAGGGAGGTAATGTTATTATATTACCTTTTATGATATTAACCAACATTAAGTAGAACATATTGGTACATGTAAACATATTTTCATTAAAAATCAACATAAATAATACATATACTCACATCTAAACCAAAGTATTTTATTTTATGCATGGCTAGGCAGATTATATTTAATAAAATTGAGCTTTTGGCATAATTTAGAAAGCAAACATGAATGTAATCCCATAGGATTTTCTATTTTAATGCATGGGAAAGAGGCCTTTAGGGATTTATTTCACCATTCTTCCCAAATGACTTCAGAATAGACCTTACAATGCAGATATAGTGAAACAGACATACCTGTTATGCTGTAAGAGTGGAGGCAACTATAAGATTTTTCGTAATAAAATTACTTAGTAGAACCTATTTTTAGCATTAAAAGACATATTTTAAATTACATTTGGACAAACTCATTCACAGCATTCATTGCCATTGGGCACTAAGTCACATTACTGATAGAAGAAATACATTTTCACTTTGAAAAAAATCTGTTTCTGAAAATACAAATTAAGTTTTTTACTTCTGAAAGTTTTTTTATTGTTTTGCTTTTGCCATTTCATTTGCATTGACAGGATATTAATTGACCAAATTGTTTGTTCCTTTCTCATAGGATGGTTAAAGAACAAATCTATTGCTTTGTTAATA